CTACCAAGTTTGCATGTTATAACTACCAAGTTTGCATGTTATAACTACCAAGTTTGCATGTTATAACTACCAAGTTTGCATGTTATAACCACCAAGTTTGCATGTTATAACGGGGTGCATGCCGGAGACCAGCTTTGCCATACTTCCCACTTAGTTCATATTTCTTTCCGTAGGGTACGCACACATAATCAAAGAATAGGGTTTGAATTATTCATGATCTTTATTATCATTATTTCTGATAACTGTGGGAATAAGACTAAGCCCTGGTATACCGATGAACTGGAAATGTATAATGACATGTCAATGCATAAATTCTGCAGTGGAAGCAGGTTTGCCCGCGCGGGCAACCTGCTCCAACCTGCCACAAGAATGAACATAGGATAATAATGTAAGTGTTCACAGTGAAAACCTGTACGAATAGGCTCCTGTATTCTATGGTTTCAGGCGCCAGCCTGAGCAGGTAACCAGCACACTGGCAACCTGCTTTCACTGTGTGCGTACCCGTAGGTAAGAACGCTAGAGGGCATTACAGCCTATGAAGTCAAGTGCTCAAAGCCATAGCGCCGGATGTCCACAGCCACAAAATAAGCTTGCTAAAAGTAAGCATGGCCACACTACATCTGGCCAAACCTCTTCCGGCGTAACCTCTTCAGGCCTAACCTACACAAGTAGCAACGTTTCTCCACCCAAACAAACCTGAGCGGACCTAACCTAACCTCATTGGCTGCAGTAATTAGAAAGGCAGCCCAAGTGTGCTGGTAGAGCCAGTCATTGGCTGCAAGAAGGATGTGGGCCGGGACAGCGTGAATAGGTTAGGCCAGAGTAGGTATAGCCGGCTGAGGAATTGCCTGTTTATGAACGAGCATGCTTAAGCATTGGCTGATGACCTACGGCGCTATTATCTTTCGGCAGTGCGTCGCTTGTCTGGATTACGGAGTTCAAGCGTTGTCTGCGGCTTCTAGTTCTGAGGCTGAGTGAATTAAATGCATGGTGAGGCTCGGCGTTGGCTCCATCGCTTATTTAAGAGTAAAATTTGTGGCCTACGACTGCGCCTCCGTTATAACTGCCATGTCCTCCCAACACTAGTAAGCTCTTACCCACACATATGATGTGATAAACGGTAATGCAGTGCACAGGTAACAGTTAGGTGCACTAAAACTAATGTGATGGGCAAGAACTAACGAGATTACCTTAAGCAGTAAAGCGTTGCAGTAATGAGGTGTTACAGTAATGAGGTGTTGCAGTAATGAGGTGTTAAGGTAATGCGTTATAATTACCTTCAAAAGCGCACTCAGTAACGCAGCGCGCATAGTTACCTCCTAGTTACCTTGCAGGTGCTTGCGTATGATCTGGTCGGCCTGGTTGCTGGAGGAGCTGTTCAGGACGTCCTTCAGGGCGCTGGTGGACACCTTCACGCAGGACACCATCTCCGCCTCCTTCACCAGCTTGCGCACCGCGTCCTGCCAGGGGCGGGAGGTAGATGGTTGGTTAGTAGTTTTAAAATATGAATACTATTGATAAGAAGAATTTTTTTATGATTTTTAAGTAAAAATTCTAATGAAAAGAAGAATTTTTTAGGATTTTAAAATACGGTTGGTTAGGATTTTTCAAGTAAGAATACTATTGAAAAGAAGAATTTTTTGGGATTTTAAAATAAGAATACTGTTGATAAGATGAATTCTTTTCATTTTAGTAGAGCTTGCGTATTAGTTAGTAGTTTTAAAATAAGAATACTATTGATAAAAAGAATTTTTTAGGATTTTAAAATAGGAAAACTATTGATAAGATGAATTCTCTGTATTTCAGTAGAGCTTGCGTATTAGTTTTTAGTTTTAAAATAAGATAACTATTGTTAGGATTTTTATTTATTTATTATTATTTATATTTTTATAAAACTATTTTTTATGGCAGTATTTCAGATTCCCACATTTCAAACAATAATATTCCAGATTTACTAATTTTACATAGTATTATTTAAGACTCAACATTTCATAAGGCATTATTACATGTTCATGCATTTCTCATGGCAACCGTAAAACGAGGTGACTTGGACCAGTTTTCGCGCCTGTACTTTTCGTGATACAAATAGTCACATATTAAATACATTAAATATATCTCTTTATTACCTCTCTTCTCTTTATTATTCTTTATTTATATCTCTTTATTTATTATATTTATTATTTTTATATTTATAGGATTTTGAAATGAGAATACTATTGATAAGAAGAATTCTCTTCATTTCAGTAAAGGTTGCATAAAGGTTGAACTTCTGCCGAACTGTACCAAAATTGAAAATAAAGAGAGCATGCAGGTAAAATGCGAGTAAATAGTATAATATTAATATAGTATGAACATAGTTTAATACGTAGCTGTAGAGGGTGGCTCAGGAAAATGTGCTCAATTAAAACGAAACCATTGCAGATCTCGGTATTCCCTTTCCCTTTCACTTAAAGAAAAATTTACTTGGTTTATTGAACAATTGAAACGAACATGTAATAAAAGAAGGACGCTCTTGACGTCCTTCTTCAAATCCTTCTTCTTCTTTTGCCCTCTCAAGTAAAGAAAAATTTAATTAGTTTATTGAACATTTGAAACGAACATGCAATAAAAGAAAGAGGTCCTTGGCGTCCTTTTTCAAATCCTTCTTCTTCTTTAGGCTTTAAGTAACCCAAATCTGCAGAACTGATGAGGAAAAAGTTGTTTCCTACTCTCTTGAGGCGGGCTAGTTAGACTCACAATTTCCAGCTGCAGGCGGGCTAGTTAGACTCACAATTTCCAGCTGCAGGCGGGCTAGTTAGACTCAAAATTTTCTGCTGCAGGCGGGCTAGTTAGACTCACAATTTTCTGCTGCAGGCGGGCTAGTTAAACTCACAATTTTCTGCTGCAGGCGAGCTAGTTTAACTCACAATTTTCTGCTGCAGGCGGGCTAGTTAGACTCAAAATTTTCTGCTGTAGGCGGGCTAGTTTGACTCACAATTTTCTGCTGCAGGCGGGCCTGGGTTTTCTTCATCATGAGAAGCTCCACGACCATCGACTGCTTGTTAGGGTCAACCACACCGCCGTCCAGGTTGAACTGCGTCGCCGACCTGCATACGGAGGTCTAACTTCATCCCAAAACTAATTAGGCTAACTTCAACCCAAAACTAATGAGGCTAACTTCAACCCAAAATTATTAGGCCAACTTCAACCCGAAACTAATGAGACTAAGTTCAACCCAAAACTAATGAGGCTAACTTCATCCCAAAACTAATGAGGATAACTTCAACCCAAAACTAAGTAGGCTAACTTCAATCCAAAACTAATATGGCTAACTTCAACCCAAAACTAATAAGGCTAACTTCACCCAAAACTTATGAGGCTAACTTCAACCCAAAACTAATAAGGCTAACTTCAATCCAAAACTAATAAGGCTAACTTCAACCCAAAACTAATGAGGCTAACTTCAACCCAAAACTAATGAGGCTAACTTCAACCCAAAACTAATGAGGCTAACTTCAACCCAAAACTAATGAGNAACCCAATGGATGAAGTAGAGTGGCTTGGGGGAAATGGCTATTGTAAGTTACTGATGGAACCCAATGGATGAAGTAGAGTGGCTTGGGGGAAATGGCTATTGTAAGTTACTGATGGAACCCAATGGATGAAGTAGAGTGGCTTGGGGGAAATGGCTATTGTAAGTTACTGATGGAACCCAATGGATGAAGTAGAGTGGCTTGGGGGAAATGGCTATTGTAAGTTACTGATGGAACCCAATGGATGAAGTAGAGTGGCTTGGGGGAAATGGCTATTGTAAGTTACTGATGGAACCCAATGGATGAAGTAGAGTGGCTTGGGGGAAATGGCTATTGTAAGTTACTGATGGATGAAGTGAATAGCTGATGCAAGTAACAAAATTATTCACATGTTGCTTCAGGAACTTGCAGTTCATGACAAAAAATAACAGATAATTTAGAAGGGCAAACGACAAGGACGGCAGATAGAAAGTAAAGGACCATGAATAATGTTGAAAGGGTGAACGACTAGGCTGGAAGAAAGATCACGTGTGGTGGAATATAGATGGTGGTCATATAGTGGAAAGTAGATGGTGGACACATATGGTATAAGATAGATAATAATGTATTAGACTGAAGGTAAGATAAGACTGATAAGGTAAGACAGAAGGTACTTGTACACCAGATGGACACCAGATACCAGATACTGAAGGCACCGGTCCGCCAGATGGACAGACCTGCTGAAGACGGTCTGGTCCTTGCGGAGGAGGTCCTTGGTGGAGAGGTTGCCTACGTTGGGGGGCACCGCGGACCCACGCAGCTGCTGCTTGCCCATCACGCGCACCACCAGACTACCGTTACGCAGGTAGTCTACCAGCTGCGTGGTACGTACCATTAATGTACCATACCATTACTGGGCCATGCAATTAATGTACCATACCATTACTGGGCCATGCCATTAATGTGCCATACCATTAATGTACCATACCATTAATGTACCATACCATTACTGTACCATACCATTAATGTGTCATACCATTAATGTACCGTACCATTACTGGGCCATGCAATAATCATCACGCGTACCAAAAGGTGCGTGACAAGTACCATTGTTTGGTTCTAAGTAAGCTCCATTTCTGTTACAGATTGGACACGTCCTCTATTTCAAGAGCCCTCTAGGCTTTTGATTAAAGCTTTTAGCCCTAATATTCAATATATCAAATAATTTAAAAGTTTATAATGTTTTCGTGGTAAAATGAATTATGTATACAAATTATTATTATATAGTACCAATAAATCAATATTATATAGAATAATGAATAGTATTAAACCATCCGTCGCCCAATGAAATTGTCGCTTAATGTACTTGGTTACCTGGGCTGTAACGGGCTTGAAGTCGAACTGCTTTTCGTGGTTGAACTCCGGGTTGGTTGTGTTGCTCACTTTCTTGGTGGCTACAACCTCCTTGTCCAGGTACATGGAGTACGAGCAGTACATGTCCTGGGTACATGGTGGTACATGTTAGTACATGTGGGGTACATGGAGTACGAGCAGTACATGTCCTGGGCACGTGGTGGCACGTGTTAGGACATGGAGCATACGAGTATACTCATGGCTTATACAAGGTCCCAGAAGGATTATTAGAATTTGTAACAAGAACCAACACCAGGGACCACGGCTATAAATTAAAAAAACTGCGTTGGAACACATCCATGCAACAACATTTCTTCTCGCTTCGAGTCACCGACATGTGGAACAGCCTCCCTGATAGCATCGTTGATGCTCCGAGTATGAACGCCTTCAAGAACAGACTAGAGTAGACGAAGCTATGCAGGAGCATATGTTCAGTCTTAAAATGTCTAGCACCTTACGGACCAGGCAATAAGTCCAGCAGCTATCTCAATCAATCGTCTGTTATGGAAAGATCGGGTTCCAAAGGCCGGATCCCTTGTTAATCAAGTCACGAAAAGTTCCAGAATCGGCAACAGGCCATGGGCCTATTTCTTCAGTGCCGACACTTCTATTCTATTCTATGTGGAGTACATGGAGTACGAGCAGTACATGTTATAGCGGCTGGGCAGCCCCTGACCCACCTTATAGCGGCTGGGCAGCCCATTTCCCACCTTATAACGGCTGGACAGCCCCTGACCCACCTTATAGCGGCTGGGCAGCCCATTTCCCACCTTATAACGGCTGGGCAGCCACTGACCCACCTTATAGCGGCGGTGCAGCCCCTGACCCACCTTATAGTGGCTGGGCAGCCCTTGACCCACCCTATAGCGGCTAGGCAGCCCCTGACCCACCTTATAGCGCCTGATGACCCACCTTATAGCGGCTAGGCAGCCCCTGTCCCACCTTATGGCGCCTGATGACCCACCTTATAGCGGCTAGGCAGCCCCTGACCCACCTTATGGCGCCTGATGACCCACCTTATAGCGGCTAGGCAGCCTCTGACCCACCCTATAGCGGCTGATGACCCACCTTATAGCGGCTGGGCAGCCCCTGACCCACCTTATAGCGGCTAGGCAGCCCCTGGCCCACCTTATGGCGCCTGATGACCCACCTTATAGCGGCTAGGCAGCCCCTGACCCACCTTATAGCGCCTGGTGACCCACCTTATAGCGGATGGGCAGCCCCTGACCCACCTTATAGCGGCTGGGCAGGCCCCGGCAGCTCTTGATCTTAAACTTGAAGTGGAGGTTCTGGCCGATGAGGTCGTCGGGCTCGTCGACGAAGACGTTGTCGTCGTCAGTGAACTCCTTGCCGTGGCCGTCACACGGGACGATGGCGACCTGCGGCACAACCCAGTCAAAATTTTAGTTCCAATTTCGTTCCAATTAGGGTCGCCCCAGTGGCAATAGAGTCGCCTTAGAGGTGAATCAGGCGCAGATCGGCCACGTACGGTGTTTGGCTTCTATTTAGTAGGCTCTTTCGGAATTCAATTGCCCGGTGGGCCGAATCCGCAGTAATTAATCACTGCACGTCATGACCCACATAGCAGCCGCTGACCCACTTAGCAGTCGCCCACCTGACCCACATAGCAGCCGCCCACTTATCTTTACGCGTCATAGCTCCCCAAGCTCCTTATTTAACCCGCACAGCCCACAGCCACGCTGATGCACCGCCTTTGACGGCTACAATTTGCCGCCCAACAGCGGCACAGAGAAATGAGAAAAACTTACAAGGCTCGAACCCACGACTCGCTCATCTCATCTCGGTGCCCACCTGCAACGCCCACTTAATAACCACAAGTCCATGTGATCACAACAATCACGTTCATGACTCCCACTTCCCGCCCACTCACGTTCATGACTCCCACTTCCCGCCCACTCACGTTCATGACGCCCACTCCCCGCCCACTCACGTTCATGACGCCCACTTCGGCGCCCTTGATGTTGGTGATGGTGAAGGGCTCGTCCAAGTCCATCTTGTGGGCGATGGGCTGCAGCACCACCATCACCGTCCCCATGTGCACCTCAGTCTCCAGGCTCTCCTGGAACGGATCCTCGTCCTGCCCCGGGGGATTAGGAGGTGAATAATCACCCTAGTCACCCTAGACACCCAGTCACCGTAGTCACCCATGTCAACTCAGGACGCTCCCACTCGTCCTCGCCCTCGTAGTGCTCGTACATCTCCCTCACCTAGTCACCCTAGTTACCCTAGTCACCTAGTACCGTAGTCACCCATGTCACCCTAGACGCCATAGTCACCCTAGACACCTAGTACCGTAGTCATCCATGTCACATCAGGACGCTCCCACTCGTCCTCGTCCTCGTAGTGCTCGTACATCTCGCTCACCTAGTCACCCTAGTTACCTCAGGACGCTCCCACTCGTCCTCGTCCTCGTAGTGCTCGTACATCTCCCTCACCTAGTCACCCTAGACACCCTAGTCACCCTAGTCACCTCAGGACGCTCCCACTCGTCCTCGTCCTCGTAGTGCTCGTACATCTCCCTCACCTAGTCACCCTAGTCACCCTAGTCACCCTAGTCACCCTAGTCACCTCAGGACGCTCCCACTCGTCCTCGTCCTCGTAGTGCTCGTACATCTCCTTCATCTGGTAGAGGCGGTCCCTGAATTTCTCCTGCGGCCACACGAACTCCGTGCCGTTCTCCAGGTTCTTCATCTTGACGTGGATCTGCGGGCGCATGGCGTGTTATTAATGTGTTATAATTGCGTTAATAACGCGCTATTAACGCGTCAATAACGCGTTATTAATATGTTATTAACGTGTTATTAGCACGTTATTAACGGGTTATTAACGTTAAAGACTCACTATTAACGAGCTGTTTATTTAACGTTGGAGAATTATTATTAACGAGCTATATTAGCTGGTTATTAGTAATGAGAGCTGGTTATTTCGATGCTGGTTCCGGTTATTAAGTTGATAGAAGATAATTTTGTCATTTTGGATTAGGCGTCACTAGTCATAAAGCTAGGCATTATTTTATATAAAATATTTCCAGGGCATTATAATCCCAAGCTGGGCGTCCAGGTGCCCACTGACCTGCGTCTTGCCCAGGTGCCCACTGACCTGCGTCTTGCCCAGGTGCCCACTGACCTGCGTCTTGCCCAGGTGCCCACTGACCTGGGTCTTGACCAGGTGCCCCCTGACCTGCGTCTTGACCAGGTGCCCCCTGACCTGCGTCTTGACCAGGTGCCCCCTGACCTGCGTCTTGCCCAGGTGCCCACTGACATGGGTCTTGCCCAGGTGCCCACTGACCTGGGTCTTGCCCAGGTGCCCACTGACCTCGGTCTTGCCCAGGTGCCCACTAACCTGGGTCTTGCCCAGGTGCCCACTAACCTGGGTCTTGCCCAGGTGCCCACTAACCTGGGTCTTGCCCAGGTGCCCACTGACCTGGGTCTTGCCCTTGCCCTGGGCGCCTATCACCTCCGGCGCCACCAACATGATCTCGAACTTGACGCGCTTGTCCAGCTCCTCCGAGATGCTGTTGGCCTCCTCCACCATCGGCATCACCTGCAGCAGCTCGTCCTGCAGCGCACCCAGATCTGGGGGAGCAGGGGATTAAAGTTAGACACCCACAGGTCTGGGGAGGAGGGGCTTAGTGTTGTGCACCTGCAGGGAGGAGGAATCAGCCACCGGTACCACCAACCACCGGTACCACCAACCACCGGTACCACCACCCACCGGTACCACCACCCACCGGCATCACCACCCACCGGTATCACCACCCACCGGCATCACCACCCACCGGTATCACCACCCACTGGTACCACCACCCACCGCTATCACCACCCACCGATATCACCACCCACCGGTACCACCACCCACCGGTATCACCACCCACCGGTATCACCACCCACCGGTACCACCACCCACCGGTATCACCCCCGATGTTGAGGCCGGACTTGGCGGCTATCTCCTCCCTGGCGTACTCGTAGGTGACCTCCGGCACCTTCTTGGCACCCTTAGCGGTGGGTGGCTTGGTGGCGGGGTGCTGGAACACCCACAGCTGCGTGCTGCCGATCATCAGTCTGGGGAGGCAGCAATATATGGTCAGAAATTATTTGGATTTTAGTAATTTTTTATTTATTTAATGCCGATCATCAGTCTGGGCGACGCAGCCAAATTTGGACAGAAATTATTTGGATTTTAGTCATTTTTTTAATTATTTAATGCCGATCATCAGTCTGGGGGAGGCAGCCATATTTGGTCAGAAATTATTTCAATTTAGTTGGAAAGTTAGGAGGCAAGAAGAAATCCTTTGAAACGATTTTAATTTTATAAAAAATTAGGAAGATAGAAAGTTTTGTTTAAAATGACGTAGAAATCTCAAATATGAGTAAACAGTGAAAATTTTCTCGCGTCGATCACAATTCACGTAAATCTTTTCCCGGACGTGAAATTAAATGTTGAGTGAAATTTCCATAGATTTTTTATGTTGAGAGAATTATGAATTTTAGATATAAATCTAGTTGCTAATTTAGATTGGTCTAGAGGTTCATAAATTCGGTGGATTTTCATCAACTTGATGGTGTCTTTAACTCGTTTCTAACTTTGTTTAATTACCATAGAACCTGCAGTTCAGCGGTTTCTTTTTGTACGTGTATCACTCATTTACATCACTGAAAATATGCTCGTGAATCCTGATAATGTAATTTTACCGTTTAGATAGTATTTATATATAATACATTAAAATATGGACGGCCTGAAGCTCTATGAACAAACATTATAGATGATTCTTTCATATTAGCCTTGATATATGTCTCCAGGAATTGCACCGAACATTTGATTGTCCATGTTCTTCAATTAGTCTATGGAGATTACCTCGAACATTTAGATATCTTTTTTTTCCTATGAAAAGTCTACGGAGATTGCTTCGAACATTTAGATATTCTTTTTTCATCGAAAAGTCTACGGAGATTGCTTCGAACATTTAGATATATTTTTTCGTTAAAAATTCTAAGATGATTGCACCGAACCTTAGATATTTTTATTCTCTAAAAAGTCTATATGAATCTAATAAACGTCTCTAAAATTAAACATGCGTGTATGCGTGGTGTACGTCATTACTGCCGAGCATTACAAGGTGTAACGCTGATGCACTGGCGAGCAAGAGCACTGCTGCACTAACCTGTCGTTGTGGGTGAGCGTCGCCTCCCCCACCAGCAAGGTGCCGTTGACCAGCACCCGACAATCAGACGTGGTCGGCTTCAGGTTAACTTCGTTCTTCTGCGTAACCGTTATAACGGCATGCTGCTCCTGAATCCTGTTGGACGGTTAAGTGTTAGGATATCATATTAAGATTTTAATTTGTTTATGAAATCAATATACGTAATATTGGTTTGATTTCTTGTTGATTGATTCTGTTGCTTTTTAACTGTTCAACCGCACGGGGTTCGTCCTGACCTAGAAGAAAGGACCTTCGAGGAGTGAAAGAATCGCAATGTAGTATTGTGATATAATATATAGTATATAATATATAATAAATGAGAAATAATATTTAATAATATATAAACACTTAGACTTTTCAAACCCCCATAAAAACAGTTCAAACTCGGATCTTAAGTAAGTTGTAGCCAATTAACTAACCACGCAATAAAAACCCATCAACAGATTTACAATTTATGACTCAATCAGATTAAAACAACCGGTCAACCTAGTTCAAAACCACCTCTGAATAGTGTTAGAACAACCAATAAAAATATTTTCAACCAGGAAATATTTTACAACCAGTCTTAAATTGTAAAAATATTTACAATTTACGATGTTATTGCAAAAATCAGTCAACCAATGGGTCAACCAGAATGAATCTCTCAACTCAACCAGGTAGCAGCTCATCAGGAGGCGCTACTCACCCCGGTCCCACCATGATGATGTTCCCACTCACCCCGGTCCCACCATGGTGATGTCCCCACTCACCCCGGTCCCACCATGGTGATGTCACTGGGGTCGCCTTTACGGTTGCCGATGGTGGTGGCCCCGGCCTTGAGGATGTGCACAACCTTCCCCGACAGGATGGGGTCGGGGTTGAGGTTGTAGAGGTGAGGCTTCTTGAGGCGCTCTTCTTCCTTCTTCTTCATGGAGGGATCCTGGGAGATGAAATATTAATTAATAATAATCATCGTCAGGCGCGACGGTGTTAAATTTAAATTAATAAAATATTTTTTATTAGTTGTGATGAGCAAATAAAGTGTCTGTGGTTCCATTGATCCATTGATACCGTTGTTCAAGAGCCGAGTTTTGATACCACTCACCACCATGCCCTTCTCAGCCACTCACCGTCATACCCCTCTCAGTCACCCACCGTCATTCCCTCCTCCACCGCCATGTCTTGCTCCACCACCCACCACCATACCCTTCTTCTTCACGTACCATCATATTCTCCACCACCATGTGTTTCTCCACCACCATACCGTTCTCCCCACCATGTTTTTCTCCACCACCATGTGTTTCTCCACCACCCACCGTCCCACCGTCATACCCTTCTCCACCACCCACCACCATACCCCTTTCCACCACCATGTTTTTCTCCACCATCATGTTTTTCTCCACCACCATGTTTTTCTCCACCACCATGTTTTTCTCCACCACCATGTTTTCCTCACCACCATGTGTTTCTCCGCCACCCACCATCATACCATTCGCCACCAACATACACTTCTCTACCAACCACCATACCTTTCTCCACCACCCACCACCATACCTTTCTCCACCACCATGTGTTTCTCCACCACCCACCATCATACCATTCTCCACCACCATCTTTTGCTCCTCCACCTTCTCCACCCAGGACCACCACCCACCAACATACCCTTCTCCATCACCCACCGCAATGTCCTTCTTCTGGGCCTTCAGCTTCTCCTCATAGGACTTCTTCATCTCTATCATCTCCTTGTCATTTTGCAGCATGCGCGCCCGCATCTCCTCCTCCCACTTGGCCTTCATCTTGGCCATGTCTTTATCATTTATGCCGTCGTTGTCAGCGTCCACAAAGTCAGCGGGGTTGATCTGGCCAGTCTGAAGCTGACGTTTCAGCGCATCGTTCTCCTCTTTCAGCTCGCGAATCAGCTTCTCTACAGGATCTTCGTTGACGATCGCCGTAGTCTTGATCTGCTTGGCCCTGTCAGCGTACCTGCACACGGGTAGGTAGTCAGCTCCTATTTATATATGCTCAATTACCTTTTATTTCAAGCTGCATGCCTGAAATTTGTTCCGTAACCGTAAATTGAAATGAAATATAGTTTACAAAAATCAGGCTACACCTGATCTAATAAAACAATAAAAAATATAAGAATAACATAAAACAGAAATATCAAAATAATAAAAAATAATAATTAAAAATTAGTAATAATAAAAAAAAAGGTTTTTGCACTTGACTAATTGACTAAAAACTTTACTAATTAACTAAGTTAATTAATTTTTCCAATTAATTTCTTTTTCAATCTGCTTATCTGACATTTGTTACGTATTTTTCAGGGAAATTTAATTAAAAAATTGAATGCAAATATCAGATTTTTAGTGCTCAAGCAAATGATCAAATGCAAAAAAGACTTGACAAAAATATTTCATATACGGGGGAGAATCGTCCATTATGTGCATATAGTGTTATTCAAACATGAAAAATTTCAATTTAATTCTAAGTTTGAAACGAGATTTATGTGGAAATTCTAAATTCGGCTAAGGTATGAACAGTTTGGCATCGGATTAAAATTACTTCGGTTTGTAAATTAGCAACGGACTACGGTAAACAGGCATAGCAAAATTGAAATACAGGCGCAACTTTTGCAACATGCACTGCCCAGGGTTTGAAGGGTTTGGGTTTGAAGGGCAGCATCTGGGCAGCTTAGAAGCTCGGTATAACACGGCTCGGCCAGTTCTTGTCATACTCCGAGGCTTGTCATACTTCCGACTATAAAGTCGGAAAGGTGATTCTGACCGGAAACTGATGTCGATCGGGTGGCCAAGCAGACCCAGAATAACTTCGTCCCGAAAGTAGCGAGTATTCGTTAGAAGCCCAGCCGATCCCCAAATTTGACAGGGAGGTAGTCAAAATAACATGATCCGGATAACAAGATTATCAAATCAGGGATTATCTGACTCGGGTAACGCCAGGTTCAGCTGTGCGTCTTCTATGTTGAATATTTTTCCCTGCTACCGTGAGGACATACATGGTACCTCTTACCTGAGGGTAGATCACCTAAGGGTAGCCTACCCAGGGGTGGACAAGGTCCTATCTACCTGAGGAAAGACATGACCCCATCTAGTACCTGAGGAAAGACATGACCCTATCTACCTGAGAGTAGAGATGGTCTCGTCGAAGTTGATATCAGCCGGGGAGATGGCGGCTATCATGACGGTCTTGCTGTTACCACCGAGGGCGTTCCTGAGGAGCTTAGTGAGGGTAGAGCTCCTGAAGGGGACGCGGACATTCTTCTTGCCGTTCGACTGCTCGGCAAGGGCGTGGATGCAGTCCCCCAGCTTCGTCAGGGACAGGTTGATGCTCGCGCCCTCCTTGAGGCGGTCGCCTGTGGCGCCTGTAGCTTCCACTCGCTCACTGCCATGCAAACATATAAGGACTTGCATAATACCAATAACATATGCATAAATTTCGTCAATTGAAATACAGATACATTGTTCTTAACTAGACCAAATGTTGATTCGTCGATTTTTAATCACCAATATTATTTAATTCCTGTAAGATTCTTAGACTTGAATAAATTCAATTACCCTTCCACGGACTTTGTCACTTCTAATAGAGTTTCACCGACTGCAACATATTATATATGGTTCTGACAATTCTTATATAATTCTTACAATTGAATTACAAGAAACAATTCTGGAAAATTTTTTACAATTACCTACAATTAAATTACAAGTAACAATTCTGACGATTGTTTTACAATTACCTACAATTGAATTAAAAATAGCAATGCCTTAACAGCTACTCGGTTGCCCCCCGTACCTGCCGGCCAGGTCGACGAGGTTGATGGTTGCCGTCTTGGCGGTCTCGACGTTCGTTGCGTTCTTGCTCTTCTGGATGAACTTGATGCCGACGATGGTATGGGCTCGAGACGAGGTCGCGTTCATGTTGGTCGACGCGATGGTTCGGTTGATGGTTCCCTGCTGCATCTTCTGGTTCATGTCCTCGTAGCTCGTCACCATAGTTGTCTTGAGGCCCTCGGCTGGGAGGGTAAAATGGATAAGTAGGACGCGAAGATTTCAGATCACATTCTCACCATCAGATATTCATGTAGTTTATGTTAAAAATTCAAAATTCGGCTAACATCCTTCAAGGTCGTGATTGTCTTTAATCAGAAACAAAGTGAAATAATGTTATTATATTGATCAGCATATTGCATTCCGAAAAATGTTATACATTTGTCTACTGTAGGGAAATTTAGACACTAAACTGTTGAAAACCAACATGTCTAGTCATCGGTGGCTTTCTAAGTTGTGGGCTGCGAGGTAGGGAGTATACTAAATAAACTAAAAAAGTATTGCTTGGAAACAAAATTCAATTTTAAAACAGGATTCGACTTAGGGATGTAACGTAACCGACGATAAATCTCAAAGTCGAATCCTGTTCAGTAGGAGCTCAGTGTTGTTAGGATAACAAGCTTACTTAGTTTTTCTCCTCACTCAGTCACGAAGTTACAGTGTTGTCATAGTCAATTGCCCAGTACCCCAGTCTACCGCGCACAGCACCACTTAAAGCTGTACGGCCTTACACGCTGCCGTCTTTGTGGAGACTGATTCATCCGTCGAGCCTACCGCATGTAAGACCCTAGCGGGAATTCTCTACGTCATTAGCTCCGTCATATATACCCTAGCAGGCAACCTCTACACCGTTAGCTCCGTTACTACGTTAGCAATATACATATGTTTTAATGCAACGACGCCTAATCATGAAAGAAAAGATCAGAGCCCAGCTAACGACGAATGATCACTTTATACGTCCTAAGAAAATGCGTTTCTATACTACATTTCCTCTGTCAGAATCGGAGAAGTGCGCGACTTGATGCTAACAGCACGGCCAAAAGTTGGCCCTTATGACCTTTTGATCTATATGATGAGTTTGGGACTTCCTAGTCCCCGGTCACGCTGATGCGCCGTTTTCGTCGTCCTCCGTCTCCGAGTCGTTGCTAGGCAGGTCACCCCGTTCTCGGGTCCCGGATGAATACATCCAGGCCCTCTAGAATGTCACATCAATTGTCATTCGACCTATCACCCTCGAGGTCACCCTATGTTCCATACCAGGGGTGATACATAGGGTCCCTTTCTCAACGAGTCCCTCTACGTGACGCTACATATCACCCCAATTCCCCTCACCGTAGAAGCCGCGCTTGGGATGTTCCCTGATCTTGAGGCCGCCCTTGCCCTGCTTGGGCTGCAGCAGGTCTCTGACGACCTCGTTGTAGATCTCCAGCATGGAGAACTGCACCTCGCACTGCACGGCCGCGCCCTTCTCTTTGATGCCCTTGAAGATGTCCTCGCACAGCAGCGGCACAATGCCTGCACATACAATGGCCATGGTGAGTAAAGACGCGCTCGCACATACAATGGCCATGGTGAGTAAAGCCGCGCTCGCGCATACAACAGCCATGGTGAGTAGAGCTGCGCTAGCACATACAATGGCCACTGCAAGTAAAAATGTGTCTGGAGACATGACAGACATTATATATAAAACCATGCCAGCCACTTAATAACGATTTTAAAGTAATCATTCAATAAAACCATGCATACACATCATTTTTTTCTACTTCATGAGGCTCGGTTTCATTAAAGTGCGCAAAATTTGTGGTGTGTGCGCCGTCCTTGCTTAAGTGAGCTTTACATTGGTACATGTCGCCTGGAATGTAAACTGTTAGCTTTCTGAGCATCGTGCACCATATGAGGTACACGGTATTCATTATAAGGCCCCAGTAAAATATATGCATTATCTAAGTATTGACTCTTGCTCTAACCCAGTTTTCTTGACAAATGGAATGGAAATTTTACTGCGATGCTAAAGCTATAGAGCATTCTCGAGTATCACTCATTACTTCCAGCTAACGAGCTACTGCTGCAGATTCTGCTGCGATATTATTGGCAAAAAATTTAATGCTAAACCGAGATGAAAAGCTGGAGAAGCAACTACCAATTGTACTCCTAAGCTGGGCATCCGCTTCACTGCGTGTCCGGCATTTCATAGCAGCATTTATGAGCTTCTACAATTATTCCTCGACAAACATGCACAGCAAAATGTTGGTATTTGTAGCAGGAAGTAATACTCTTCGCAAATCATAATTTCATTAATCTTCAACTTAACGGCATTTATGATGTTTTTGTTCTACAAGTTTGCTGACTTTTTATCTCCCACGCAGCGTTCTTGCAGTTCCAATGTATACAAATAATTGTATGTTCCGGACGTTTTCCACTTTAATAATCCATACAGTAGCCGAGAGAATACTTTTCGTCATTGAAATAGGATAACAGTTTTTAGTTCATGTTCTTTCATTTTTATTTCCACTAATTTTTTTTGCTCAATTTGAGCTGTCAATGCTACAATGATTCTATTGGTCAACATTGCTATGTGTTTTTAAAATTTTTGTTATCAATACAATTTTTCACGAATTGATGATCAGGTTAATGTTTGACAGGACTTTTTTAAACATTTATTTTTTTAAAGCCTATACCATATATGGCGCACATCGCACTCAAAGTGTCAAATTTGGCCACTGTAAGTATACATTCAGTAAAACCACGCCTGCTTACACAATGATAATAAACCAGTCAGTTTTGCATTGAGGAAAGTAGGAACGATGATAATATACACAGTCATGGCTGCTGGCTGGGCTATTGAGTATGTAAGCATCATTGCAAGCCGCAAAAATAAGTGCTAACAATAGAGGTCGTTGTACCCGTAACAATAGACGTAAACAATGGACGTCATTCTTAACTCTTCGTAAGTTTACTTAGCATTAGCGTTGCCTTAGCCGTCGTCGCTCTACATATTCAACTTCCTAAAGACTAAATGAAAAAAAATTAGAGATAGTCAGTAGTTGTTTCAATTCCACTAAATTGTGTTAATAATAATTGGGGGAAAACAATGTTCGAATGCAAAGCACCTTTGTTGAAAAACATTTCATCCAAGAAATTATTCAAGATGGAGTTGTATATATTTTTGGTTTAGAGGTAACAGCCAACTTTCCTCATCTCTGTTGGGCGGGTGGACACTGGACCAGGGTTGTCAGATGGCCTAAAAACGGCCAAGGCCGCGGACATAAAAGGCATGGAATTCAATGTTCACTAAATTTGTAGGTAAGGGTGTAAATAATTTTTTGCACTTATTAAAATTTAGGAAGGAAGTAGCGCCATCATAAATTTTAGCCGGCCAACGCAAGTGAAAAAAAAAACGATTTCGCGGAATTTGTCCGGAAAAAGACCATCTGGCAACCCTGCACTGGACCCACGTTTTTTAGGTGGGTGCCATCTTGACCCACTTTTATGTTGGGGTGCCCAATTGACTCACCTTTGTTGGGCTCGTAGCCGATGACGGACCAGCTCTTGCCGGACCCCGTCTGGCCATAAGCGAAGAGCGTGGCGTTGTAGCCCTGCCAGGCGCTGTCCAGGATACCCTTGCCCAGGTCAGCATACACCGACATCTGGGAACAGCCATTTCAGTCGATTGAGAAGGGTATTTCAGTTAGTTCAGTTAGGCGAGCAGTCTATCTCAGTCAGTTCAGTCAGGTGATCAGTCTATTCCTCATAGCTGCACTGGTATTTCTATCACTCATGTGGTCAATGAACTTGGCGGCGATCGGGTGGCTGGGTCCTTCTCCATGTAGCCGTCCTCGACACTAGCCTCACCTGGTCGGTGTACTTGGTGGCGTTCGGGTCGCTAGGGTCCTTCTCCATGTAGCCGTCCTCGACACTAGCCTCACCTGGTCGGTGTACTTGGTGGCGTTCGGGTGGCTAGGGTCCTTCTCCATGTAGCCGTCCTGGACACTAGCCTCACCTGGTCGGCGTACTTGGAGGCGTTCGGGTGGCTAGGATCCTTCTCCATGTAGCCGCCCTCGACACTAGCCTTACCTGGTCGGCGTACTTGGTGGCGTTCGGGTGGCTAGGGTCCTTCTCCATGTAGCCGTCCTGGACACTAGCCTCACCTGGTCGGCGTACTTGGAGGCGTTCGGGTGGCTAGGATCCTTCTCCATGTAGCCGCCCTCGACACTAGCCTTACCTGGTCGGCGTACTTGGAGGCGTTCGGGTGGCTAGGGTCCTTCTCCATGTAGCCGTCCTCGACATTAGCCTCACCTGGTCGGCATACTTGGAGGCGTTCGGGTGGCTGGGGTCCTTCTCCATGTAGCCGTCCTTGCGCTCCCTGCAGCCATCGAAGCTCCAGTAGCTGTGGTCGTAGGTGAAGGTCTTGACATCGTTGGGGTCGTCAGGGTTGGTGAGGCCGGTCTTCTTGCCCTCCATCTGGACGATGCATTTCGCCTTGCGCTGCAACTCGCGCGTGTTGTGTGCGTCAGTTAAGGAAACGTGCGTAGTGCGGCAAATATGCGTATGAAATTTTAGTGCATGAAACTTAACTGATAAATATAGTGATTAGAAATAAAGTAGGTTAAATTGCGCATATTAAAGCGAATTCCCACAATGCGTGCGTGTCATATATGAATGCGAAAAAGATGTGATAACTAATAAGAATATATGTTATCATAAGACTTTACTCATAATAGTAGTATAACCGTAATTGTAACAGTAATTTTATAACAGTATTACAAGTAACGTACGCGTTACGGCGATTATACGCATGATTGGTTGGTAAATTAAATTTTACTCGAGATTCCGGAACCTAAGAAAATACTCTGTAAATTCACTCTAATTACATTGAAAACGTTACGGATAGCAGCTCCATCATCAGTGCAATTTCAAGGAAAATTAGGAGAGGTGCCTAAATCCTAAATAGCCGATAAGGTTTTTGCTACTTCGCTTCTCTTTATGGCTATTCAGATTTTAATTACTTCCCTGCTATAAATGTTAGTGCCGAAGTTGATCATTCATTTGGAATTCAATTTTTGAACTGATGGTGGAGCTTGTCTCCGAAACTCTTTCAACAAATCATGACACATTTTCCAACATTTCTTTTCCTATAGAATATTTGGTTGATATGCGTTTTGATGGAAATAATGAGCTCAATATCTGCGAACTTTTTGTAGTACATATTCTATTTGGGAAAACTTTGAGTTCATCACTCACCCCAACGCCTAATCCCACACATTACCATTTATAAAACATTATTATTAGATATTATCAACATTTATAAAATAATATTATTAGCTATTTTTAATGTTGATGAACCTTATGATACTCTATTATTAACATTTATAAAACATTTTTATTAGATATTATCAACATTTATAAAATAATATTATTAGATATTTTTTAATATTGATAAACCTTATTATACTTAATTATTAACATTCATATAACATTATTATACATGTATTATTATCATGTGCAAAGCATCATTATTGTATATTATTAACATTCATAAAATAATAATGAATTCGCACTCCAGGCCCCGTCATCTTCAAGCTGTTCGAGAACATATTCTTATAACAACATTTGTTTGCTTATTATTCTCATATACTTATATTATATAAACTAACTGATAAACTATTATGAGTTAGTTACGGTAACATTACAACAATATTACGGCAATATTACGGCAACATTACGGCAATATTACGGCAATATTACGGCAATATTACGGCAATATTACGGCAACATTACGGCAATATTACGGCAATATTACGGCAATATTACGACAATATTGCAATATTACGGCAATCATTACGGCAATATTACGGCAATATTACGGCAATATTACGGCAATATTACGGCAACATTACGGCAATATTACGGCAATATTACGGCAATATTACGACAATATTGCAATATTACGGCAATATTACGGCAATATTACGGCAACATTACGGTAATATTACGGCAACATTACGGCAATATTACGGCCATATTACGGCAATATTACGGCAATATTAAGGCAACACTACGGCAATATTACGGCCATATTACAGCAACATTACGGCAATATTACGGCAATATTACGGCAATATTACGGCAATATTACGGCAATATTACGGCAACATTACGGCAATATTACGGCCATATTACGGCAACATTACGGCAACATTACGGCAACATTACGGCAACATTACGGCAACATTACGGCAATATTACGGCAATATTACGGCAATATTACGGCAATATTACAGCAATATTACGGCAATATTACGTCAAGATTACGGCAACATTACGTCAATATTACGGCAACATTACGGCAGTTTTGCAGCAGTAAAGGATATGAATGGCCGCACCCTGACGGCGACCTTCAGGTTCTCCGTAGCCATCCTACGGGACGTCGGCTCTCCTACGGCGCCTCCTACGGGAACTGCCCTGCCTTCTTTTTATTTAGCAGCGATATTATAATTATTTTCTCTGCCTAAATATTTATTTGTAAGAAAAATTTAATTATTAATAATAAAAAAATATTCAAGGGTTCAGTGAACGTGATTTTATAGAAGACCACAGCACCACTTACGACCACCGCACCACTTACGACCACCGCACCACTTACGACCACCGCACCACTTACGACCACCACACCACTTACGACCACCGCACCACTTACGACCACCGCACCACTTACGACAACCGCACCACATACGACCACCGCACCACTTACGACCACCGCACCACTTACGACCACCGCACCACTTACGACCACCGCACCACTTACGACCAC